ATATTAAAATTAAAAACGAGCTTTTTTTCACAACATTCACAACAACGGCTTGTCACTACATATTTAAAAACAGGTGGCGTGGTCGAGAGCCTGTAAAGTGTAAATGTGTAAATCTATCTATCTATAGATATAGATACAGAAATAGATAGATATAGATATGCATACTATAATTTGCATAATTTGTTATAATGCTTACATTGCACAGACATTACAGTCTATTTTGTAATTTAATGCTTGAGATTTCTAGTGCACCATCAACACCATAAACAACAAGAAAATACATTTAAAAAAATACAACAACAACAAGTACTTATTTTAAAGGTTGTTTCAAGCTGTGTTCAAGAATCTGAATTCTGTTCCTCAAGCACTGTAGAAAAATAAAGGAAAATGAAAGGGCATTCTAATATACAATCATTTTCAATAGCCAATTGAAGCACCAGTGTCTTTCAAATCAAGACAAAAACATACTACCTAGCTATGTCTCTCTAGATTTGTCAACTCACCACATGAAATGTTCACTTTATTTGAGTGTAAAATGTCAGCTTGAATGTCATCCATGTTCAAATGTAGGACATCAGCATTGTTGCTGTAAACAAACACACACTTTAAAGTTAACTTTAACTTTGTATTGACTATTGATGTTTTTTGAGCAGCAAATCAGAATTTTAGAATGATTTCTGAAGGATCATGTGACACTGAAGACTGGAGTAATGATGCTACAAAATCTGCTTTGAAATCACAGGACTAAATTACATTTTAAAATATATTCAAATAGAAAGCAGTTATTTTAAATAGTAAAAAATTTTCACAATATTACTGCTTTTGCTGTATTTTGGATCAAATAAATGCAGGCTTGGTGAGCAGAAGAGAATTCTTTAAAAAACATAAAAAATATGTTCAAAAACTTTTGACTGGTAGTATACAGTATATATATATCCTGCAAGAAATGGTGACAGTCATACAGTCATTACATTCATGGCTGCAGAGTGCAACCCAGAGAAATATGTTGACTCTTCTATATATTGAACTCTAAATATTGATGCTTCTATTTCATCCAATCATAATGCATATTCAACATGTGTGTCCGGTATCCAACTATGCCCACCCTAGTATTAAATGCAAATTATTTTCTAAGAAGCTATAGGACATTTTCTGTCTCACACTTGTCTTGCACTTAGATTTCCTGTTATCTCTATGCTCATGAAAAACTCAAGCATATCGAGGCAAACTGAAGCACTCAGAGACAGTCTAAAGAACACTCTTTAGTACAGTGAAGCAAATAATACAGATGATAATAATGTTTCAGATAAAAATTAAATTTCCTCCACACCTCCACAATTTTTTTTTTAATCATTCTTCGATAACCATAGAAGATAAAATTTCATCTTACACACTTTTTGAAAAAATGTCTTTCCGTTTTCCACCAGAGTATGTATGTGTATATATAGACCTTACCATAAAAGACTCAAATAGTCTGGTGCCCATAGCTCTGCATACATGCTCTTCCACCACTGGATACATGCACACAAAATGCTAAACAGACATTACACATTAATATCAGATTCTCATTGGTCTATTGCTTGCCCAGTATTGCATTTACTTATGGCTGATGCAGAATCGGCGTATGTAAGAATAAGTGAGTGAGTGTGGGTAGAAGGTAGATTTAATTGTACCTCCAAAGCCAGGCTGGCTTGTCTCTGGGCATCTGCATGTTCCTGGTTCCCCATTGCATACAGTAAGTGATGGATCACTCTGAGAGAGAACAGCTCTTTGGATATCTCCTCACTTCTCTGTGCCAGAATCCTGTAACATCATGTCAATATATCGTACATAATAAACACACAGATCAGCATGTCTTATATAATATTTTCCATGCTGTCTTGAATGTATCCATTGTTTGAAGCACCTGATGGTTTTTGCAGAAGCTGCTTGCTGGAGAAGCACAGGGAGTGAATCAGTCATTTTGGCCACCTCTGGATCTAAAAAAACAATCAAACTGTTTCGGCTTAATTTCAAATACAACACAGGACTGTTTATAACTTTTATGTCAAACAAATCAATAACTGAGAAAGATGCTAATTCAAGCCCCAATCCATGTTTGTTTTTCATCTCATCTACATCTGCTCCAAATTAAATTACAAAGCCCAAAAGGTAACAATTGGGAGGTTGAATTAAGGATGTCTCCACGCTGCAACGTGATCATAATGCAAAGTATTATTGTTATTGGAGAACCACTGTTTCAGTTGCAAACAACAAATACCTTGGCAGTTACACAAGTTTTGTTTTAATTGAAAGAAGATGAGCAACAACAGATCATACCCTCCAGGATCTTGTGTTTGGTGTTTCTCTCTTTAGTTGGTTTGAGAAAAGCCACCAGACCCCTTAGCAGAGCTGGTCTAACCTCTGATTGCATGAGCTCTATTATCAGTTCTATGGCTGGAAGTAAAAATAAAAGTACAAATGAAACGGTGGGATTCACAGTAGGGTAAACAACAAATAATGTCACATTTGAAATGTACACTTGCCTTCATATTGTACTTCTAAATGTAGGGACCTCAGCAGATTCAGTAAGGGTTCCACTATGCTATGGTGGGCTGTTTTTACAATGGGCTGGACAAAACAAAAGAAAAATGATATACATTTTAGAAATTATACAAATGTATAAAAATAGGCAGTTGATGCAGTCTCAGCAGTGTGACATCCCATACATATTATTTAAAACTATTTTAAAACCATTTTATTTTTCTAGTCCTCAAATAATTATTTATTATGAATGCAGAGCTCATATTATTAGAGACTATCTGGAATATTTGTACTTTTAAAAATTAATTTGTCACATCGCAAGACATTTAAAGTGAGCTGCAAAACAGCCCAAATGTAAAATGGTGACCAGTTATAGCACATAGAATATATACTTTTACCATATAAATTAATTTAAAATCTTGATGTTTGATACAAAAAAAGTTAATGTTACTTTAATGCAAACTCGAATGTATATACAATGGTACAGATTTTTTAAAAACATTTAAAGATTCCTCTGGTGCTGATTGTCATCCTGCAACACTGTTGTACCTGAACTATTCGTAGGATATGTAAAACAAGCTGCTGTGCTCTTGGTGAGGTGCAGGTCAGCAGGGCGATAAGGCCCTTGTACACCTGATTCTTGTATTTGGGGTTTCCATGGGCTAAAGATTCTAGCAGGGCGGCGGCGGTCTCCTGAGTCCCCCCTGTCTCAGATTTGGCCAAACATTCAGCTACGGCCTTCACACCTGTCAATCAGAAAAGAACAGATGCGAGAGCTGAAATCAGTTCATGAGCCAGTATATGTGTGTATATAAAGTTGTCAGAGCTTGCCCGTCAAAATCCCCAACCTTCAAAATGGATCCAGATTGGATCATGCAAAGTTTTAACCTCACAATATTTCATGGAAATGTTGCAAACTCTCATTCCATAATACATCACTGAAAAATGAGCTGGAGCTGTTTCACTTCTTGATTGGTAGTTTGTTGTGCGGTTGTGCTGTGTAAGTACCGTAGCTTTCACAGATAAGCTCTTTATATTTTTGGCCTGCGTTGGCGATGATCTGGAGCAGACAAAGAGCCTCGGTTTTATCCCCATCTTTGAGTTTGTCTTGTCCTAGAATCTCAAGCAGGGTAAGCACTCCACCCACCTCCAGAAACTCAATCATGTACTGGTGACTGATCATGCAAACGAACAAAATGAAACCATTCTAGGATAGACAGTGTTTCTGTTAGGGAATTTTCTGGTGTTTAATTTGCACAAAGACCTTGCGTGCTTGACATCTAGTAATACAATTATATTCATTTAGTCTTTTACCTGCTGTTGGCAGAGAGGAAAACCCCCACTGCTCTCAGCTGAAGGTCTAGACACGTTCCAAACATATAGCTGGAAGCAAAACATGCAAGGAGGCATACATGGCATGACTGATATCTCTCAGTTAAACTTGTGTAAGTTTTAGTCAGATATTTAGAAGGTATCTATTTTTTTAGAGCACAGACAAAGCATGACCATATGTGTGGATACGTTAGTCTTATCCAGGCAGTGAGCCGAGCAAGGAACAGGCTGGCAACTTGAGCAAACTCAAGCTCCAGTTCTGGACACGTCTTTCCTGTGTTCTTGGCCAGAAAGTCACTTAGCATTCGACTGCGCACTGTCTTATTGCCCTGATCCCACTCATGGAGGAAACACATCACCTGACTGATAGACGCCTGCTCCTTACTGCTAGACATGACTCAAGCATTTCACAGACTACGGGAAACAATGAACAATATCAGCTAAAGTGTGTTACTAATGTACTAATATTAGTGCTGTCCAGCAGAGACTGTCATTAATAGATCCAGAACAAAGATTTTAGATATATTTAATAGATTCAGATGCATGAAATCACAACACATAAAACATTTTGTCCCTCAAAATATGTCATATATGAGATAGTGCTTGTAAAGTGACCTGTACGTTATTTCTAAATGTTCATTTAGATAAGCTCAGTTACTTTTTGAACATAAAAACAGACAAGAAGAATTTCACCAAAAACCTCATATATCTCACATTGTCAATTTTTCCATAAGTAGAAGGACGCCAACGTAGGCTAATTAACGTTACTTCGCCAGTATCAATGTTTTGTTTACAGTAATAAAACAGCTTTCGTCGGATTGTGTGGTTGTTTTATAACGCACACTCAAAACTGAAACATATTACCTTAACAGCTTTTTAATCTATATCATATTTGTTTACAAGCTTATTTAGAAACCAAGGCATGTTTCTCACCTTCACTTCCGCCGATGTTTGTAGTTGCCATGGTTACTGACGCTTACGGTGTGGGGTTGGCGTGAAAATGTGATTCGTGTTATTTCTATGTTGTATTTCTTTGCATATTATAATGTTATATTTATTTATAACACAATCAATTAGGAGCAGATTTACTTTATTTCACTTCACTTTCACCTTGACATTAAAAGAGAAAAGAGAATTAGAAAAAAGATAATGGAGAAATTCTTTAGTGTGGCTGTAGTTTCATTTTATTTTATTTCAGCTAACCCAAAATGACATAATTTTATATTCAACACAAATTTAGAAACGTAGGTGCAACCCAAACTAACCATTCAGGTGAGTACTGTACATTCAAACCCGTTGAAGGCTACCTGAGAATCAAACGAGCTGTATAGCGTAGCTCTCTACAAAGATCATACATATTAAAAAACAATCATTTCTCTACTATAGCACTAACATGCTGGTGATAAACAAACTATTGTCATCAATAATAGCTTACTGAACTCGTTTTTATTACAGTTTTCTCCCTTCATAATTCAAGGTGCAAACATGCTTGAGAGAGTTAATAGAGAAGTGTCTTCAACGAGATTGAGATGTTTTTAACATACATGCACAGATTTTCTCTCACCCACAGAGAAAAGCTCTATTGCACACTCCTTTGAACACAGCACCTGTCTTGATTGCATGATTGCACCGTACAAGGCTGGAAAAAAGGCTTCATATCTTGTGTTGTCGGGCAGAAAGGTCAAAAGTGCCGTTTATTCTTTCCTATTTCTCGGCATCTTGCACCTTCTCAATTTCCTGTTGGAAAAAAACCAATAACTTAGTGTTATTTATTTATGAAATTAATAAAAAATGATGCAATCTTTTTACAGAGATAAAATAGTTTTACCTCAATAAGAACACTTTTGAGTTTCTCATAGGCTTCTTCCAAATCATCATTAATGATTACCATATCAAAAACCCCAGGTTCCTTACCTACAGAGGAGAAAATAGCAAGGGAATAAAGGTTTTCTCTCAAGCACAACCAACTTATTGAAAGTGTCACTTACTGAGCTCCATGTCAATCCTCGCTGCCTCCAGACGCTTCTGTAGACTCTCCTCTGTCTCGGTTTGTCTGTCTCTCAGACGCTTTTCCTGTAGGAAAATAAACCACAATTTAAATCACACTTTAAATGCTATATTTGAAACTGAAAATATTTCTATCAACGTACCAGGATCTCCATTGAAGGAGGCTGGATGGAGATATATATGGGGTTCAGATCAGTCTTTTTAATGTTTTTCACTCCTTGTATGTCAACATCCAAGATGCAGATGAGGTTTTGTGCCTGAACGTCTTCTATGGATGATTTGCTGCAAGTGACAGTCAATTTAATGAGCAATAACATTTCATTTTTGTTGTTGTTATTGACTAGGCTATACACTTATGGACAATCTCAGCTACTTCAAAATGATTACTTTTGGGCATTGGTATGAAGAAGGCAAAGAAACAGTGGTGAAGTACCTCTGTGCTGAATTAAGAGGATAATGGGATCAGAAACCAGATGTCAATTTACAAATAAAATGTACCTGGTTCCATACATGTTCCCAGAAAACTCTGCATTCTCAATGAATTCACCCTTGTCGATTCCCTCTTGCATCTTCTCTCTGGTGACAAAGTTGTAATCTGGATTCAGGACAGAAACAAATGAAAATTAATCATAAAACCAAGCAAATTGTGACTGTTTACAAGGAAACATTGTAAGCTCTGTTGTCATCAATTGACCTGAAAGGGTATTTATTTGAAATATTCTTATGAGCAGGTAATCAGAAACTATTAAAAGAAAGATCTGTAAGAAAGACATTTTCAGATGATTTTTTTTGGGATTAACTATGTGACGTTTCTAAAGTCTTTTCACTGCTAAACAACACAAAATTGTTTATGCTCAGCAGGGGGGCGCTAAATGTTTATTTCAGAATCTCCGTTCGTATGACACGAAGTTAAAATGGTTCAACTAACTAAATGACGGGAATGGTGAATGAAACTTCTAAACTCTAAACTTCTCAAATACAAAAATAGCTGCGTTCACACATAAAATACTTTTATAATCTCACAAAAAAAGTCCTTTTCGTTAAGCCGGTGGTAAAGCTCCAGTAGGCTACTGCATGTTGCTGGATTCATACCATTCTGATGGTTTAACTCCACAGCAGCACATGAGAAGGGATCTAAAGCGGGACGGAATGGTTCTGCAGGCAAACAATTTATGACTACAGGAGGGTAAACACACTGACATCATCCGTGGCAGCACTGCTTAAAATAAATGTTTTGTAACATTATAAATGTCTTTACTGTCACATTTGGTAAATTGAATGCAACCTTTCTGAATAAAAGGTAGTGTAATGTAATGCAGTTAGTACAGCAAAATAAAAAAGTATATCAACAAAGCAGGTGAAATGCTTCCCGTATCTTTTGACGTCAATCAAACTCTACAGTATTTTGGCAAAAATCCATCTGTCACTACATTACCAGCCAACTAGACAGATGCCAATACGGACAGGTTGTGTGACAAGACTTCATCCTCAAAAACACAAACAATGTAAAAGAAAATTTAAAATAGACTATACACATTAAATACAGGTTCGCTTGCAACGAGGACGAGACCATGAAACCATAATAATTCAAGAGCGATTTAGATTTAGAGCTACATGGTACTACATTCTGATATAAAGTGTTAGAAAAGACATATTTTAAAATAACATTTTTAAGTTATTATTCAATCACAACAAATAAAAACCTTCCGTATTGAACATGGATTAGGTCAAGTAGGAAGCTTTGGTCTTGGTGCCCAGCTGAGAGAGAGAGAGAGAGAGAGAGTGCTGTAAACTAGAGAAGCTGACATGGGCAGACACTGAGCCCATTGCACGCCTGCGTCTCTCCGAGAGAGAAGCTCAGGAACTAATCCTTTTTGACGTCAATCAAACTCTACAGTATTTTGGCAAAAATCCATCTGTCACTACATTACCAGCCAACTAGACAGATGCCAATACGGACAGGTTGTGTGACAAGACTTCATCCTCAAAAACACAAACAATGTAAAAGAAAATTTAAAATAGACTATACACATTAAATACAGGTTCGCTTGCAACGAGGACGAGACCATGAAACCATAATAATTCAAGAGCGATTTAGATTTAGAGCTACATGGTACTACATTCTGATATAAAGTGTTAGAAAAGACATATTTTAAGTGTAATTTCTACTTAAATCATAAAAGTCTTTATTATTCAATCACAACAAATAAAAACCTTCCGTATTGAACATGGATTAGGTCAAGTAGGAAGCTTTGGTCTTGGTGCCCAGCTGAGAGAGAGAGAGAGAGAGAGAGAGTGCTGTAAACTAGAGAAGCTGACATGGGCAGACACTGAGCCATTGCACGCCTGCGTCTCTCCGAGAGAGAAGCTCAGGAACTAATCCACTGATCCGGGTGATTAGTGATTCTGTTTTGAGGTCTGTGGACTGGGTCTTGTAATAAAGAACAGGGCACCTATTTCCTGACAAAGAAACTTTTATTGATATATTTTAATTTTTTGTCATAGTAACTTTAAAATGTTAAATGTGTTGCTGATGTTCCAGCTGACTCAGAACAAACAAAAAATGTTCTTTTGTGAATTTTTATAAATTAAATTTATTGAAGAGTCTGTCTCTTTCACAATAATGCAATTTAGCAATGCATTTGTAAAGTGCCATGAAAATATCTTAATGAAGTCCGGTTCGGCCAGTGAAGAGGATTACCCAGCATGTAAGCCAAATGACAAAGGCCCAGTGACCTGATGCCTGTCTTAATGTTTTCTACAATGTCTGTCTGGAATCATGTCTGGTTCATTTTTTAGGGACTCTGCTGGAGACTAGACCAACCAACTGGACACACAATCTGATCAGGGAAAACGCTTGAAAAAAAATACAGTTGCCTCCTATGAGTTCGTTGTTGACTGTTTTCTGTTTATTTGATCAAATATCCCTGATGAAATATTTTGGCTACTGTATGTTCCAGTGTTTCTATCTCAACATTGTCTTAAGATGATGATAAAGAATTAAAATATATGTATAAGAATATTTAATGTGTGCTTATATTTTTTAAAGACAATATGGAATTTCAAAACTAAAATTCACTGTCAAATGTATTATGTATAATATTTTAATATATATATATATATATATATACCTACAGTATATAACTAAAAAGTGTGACAACTAGCCCCAGTCTATCCTGTAATGCATTGTAAATCATCTAAATAGGGCAAAACTCAAATTATATATTTTTGTCAATTATAAATGGAAATATAAAAATGAATTATGCTCAAACTATGCTACAAAATTGTCTATGCATATATTTTCAAGCAATATGGAATTTTACTAAACCAAAATTCACCATCAAATTTGATGTCAAAAATAATAATAAAAAAAAAAATATATATATATATATACTAAGAATGTGCTGAATAATAATAATTAAAATTATAATATTGATATGAAATTATCATACAATATCATGCGATGCATAGTCAGCTAAAATGTTATTTAAAGATGTATTTTGGAGACAAATGTTATTTTAAAATGTTATTTAAAGGCTCTGCGAAATTAACAAATAGATTCACTGAGCCGAATCAAATAACAATAATAATTTTGTCAAATAAAATAAAAAATGTGTCCATAAGTCTCCATAGAGTGTCCAAAAAGTTTGGTCTGCTAAGATATCCCTTGCAAAGTGTCCAAAAAAATTATTTCATTTGGGTTGCTGGGGCTGGAAGTGTGAATATAATTTTTGGTCACATTTGGGTTTTGAAGTAAAATACACTGTGAGAGTAGTGCAGCAGTTAACTTCCTTTTGCATTAGACACAAGGCTAGGCTAGGCTAATCCAACACTAACCTAATTCCACACAGATGAGTGTCCGTATAGTGGTGCTAATTAGAGATATGTCAGGACATCAGCCTCAGACATCTTTTTATCAGGTCATTCATTACAGTCATCTTTAAGAATGGCTGAAACGAACCAGGTGGTGTTAAGATGCTTATGATGCAATAAACAAACTGAAAAAGAGGAAATGCTTATTATTTATTGTACCTGCTACTGTTTCAGCTCAAACAATAGAGGTACAGGCACTGTCAGTGCCATAGGTTTGATTCCCAGGGAATACAGTACATTAACTGATTAAATTTATGCAATGTAAGTACTGTGGCTTTGGAGAAAATGTCAGTAAAATGCATAAATGTACTTCCAAATAGGCCAGCTCCACATTTGGAGCCTGGTGCTGAAAACAATTTTAAGGCTGACAATGACATTTGTTAGACAAAAAATTCAGTTTATTTTTTGTCAAAGAAAAACAGATGAGTCTGTACAAAATACACCATCATAAAACAAAGCTGGTTTTATGTTTAATTCTATTTCAGTTCTATCAAAAGTGCTTCACGATCTTTCAGTTACCTGTAGTAACTTGACTAGAGTGAGTAACAAAACTATTGCTAAAATACCATAAAGGAAATTGAATTCCTTTTCTGTTAGTTCTGAGCTTAGTTCCTTGAGTCATAATGTCATAACCTAGAGTGACTCAGTGTCAACAGACCTTTATTCTGCTTGGCAGTGGAGAGGAGTGAAGGCTAAGCAGAGAAGAGATCAACCTCAGCGTCCATATCCTGCATTAAGAATCAATTCCACCTGCTAATGGAGGGAAGCACGTGCTCTTCGATGCAGCTCTGCTGTACAGTACATATCAATACAATAACCTACCAATCACCTGTTAGGGGTTAAATATTAATTCATTACAAGAAAGTAGACAATTACATCTACACAGCATCTTAAAAGTTGAAGAGCAAAAAAAGTCAAAAATATACAGGGAACTACTTCAACTCAGAATATCTGTTGCTGAACCTTGTAGTCAAAACTATTTTTATTTATGCGTGAACTGTTTGATAAAATTAGCACTTTTTGAATTTACAAAACTTGTGAGAATGGCTTTGTAATTTTGCATCATATTCAGTCTCGTCTTTGAGATTTTATGCATGCTAAGGATAAGGGGATACTGAGAAAAAAAATTCAGAATATAAACAATTACACTACTGTATATCACCTGTGTAACAACTGAAATGATCATTTATCTTAAACCATATTTAAAGGATCCCATTCAATATTAAATTACAGTTACATAAGTATGGAAAATGAATGTACAAGATTCTTTGCACATTCTACACAAAACACAGTTCATAAATGATTTAAAAGTTAACTGCTTACCATTTCAGATACTGCTAGATCCAAATTAGAAAAGAACTCTTCAGTGTAAACATTCACAAAACTTGCTTTAGAGCTTTCTTAATGAGAATAACTTAACAATATTTGATAAAACAAGGTTTTATCCATAGAAACAACATTTTGCGATCAGTTTTACTGTCCTTACAATACTGTTACGGCAGATTTGTACATTAAAACTTTACCATTTCATTAAGAAATGAACACAGTGTGCTTCATGTAACTGGGCTGCATTCCGACAGGAACTTTTGGGCAATGACTCTGTTGGGCAAGACGTCCTCGAAGTTTTGCATCACCCCAGAAAGATTCTCCTCAGTAAAAGTGATCCGTTTGTGTAGAGTGCAAACAGGCAGATGACAGGACAGCTGTAACTCTTCACAAATACACTCGTCTCAGGTCCCCGGGTGAGGTGATAGTGTTGCACTGTGGACACAGTTTCTTGGCTCCCTGCAGGAAAGAGGGACCAATCAAGATCATTTAACAATCAAAAACAACATAAAAAGTTCACTTGTTGAAGTCACACGGTTGTGCAGGAAATCTTTTGTTAAGTACAGTATGATACATGTTCTCATCTCACCAGGGTGTGAAGCCAGCATTCCTCACAGTGGACATGCCAGCACTGGATGGAGGTCAGTGGTACTGTGTAGGAGTCCTGAAAAAAGTATAAGTACACAATAAAAGTACATGCATAAGAAAAATGTATTTGTCTGTTTTCATCATTGATAATAATAAGACACCTTTATTGAGAACCAAATGAGCATATTGCAATGATTTCTGAAGAAGCATGTGACACTGAAGACTGGAGCAAAGGCTGCTTAAATTCAACTTTGCCATATAAATTACATTTTAAAACATTAAAATAGAAAAAAGTTATTTGTATTGTAATAATAGGCAAGTCAAGTCACCTTTATTTGTATAACGCTTTATACAATACTGATTGTGTCAAAGCAGCTTTACAGAGTTAAACAGGAAAATAGTGTCAATAATGCAATTAGACAATAACAAAGAGTCATTTTACAGCTAAAGTCAGTTCATTGATTATTCTATTTTTCTATTCGATCTATTTTTGATTACATAAATGTAGCCTTGGAGAGCATAAGAGACTTCTTTCCAAAACATTAAAAAAATATATTACTGACCCCAAACTTTTGAATAGTAATGTCTACATAATTAATATATATATTAAAATGAATATAAAGTACACATCTAATTAAATAATGTATATTTATTTGCAATTACCAATTTTTTAAAATCCTTTTTGAATAAATATGCACGGTCAAGCTTACCATGCAGATGAGACACTTGAATCTGTCCCCTCGTGTGAGCTGCTTCTCCAGATCTCTGATCCGTGTTTTCAGGGCCTCCAGTGTAGTGAGGGAGGGGTTATCTTGTAAGCTAAACGAAACAAAGAACAAATCCATCAGAGATTGATTAGAGAGTCACAGCGTTCTGAGGGCTTTGTCGCTGAAGGCCACATTATGAATTCTAAATTACACATGAACGGTAATCAGAAGACAGCTTGCATCATTAAATGAGGTGCAGTCAGAAGCAAATTCAACATTGTAATACTTGAGAGTCAGCATTCCTATTGTAATGCCATATTGAACAGTAAAAATTAAGAGCATGCACTGAATGCATATGTCTATGTTCAAGTAAATGGATGTGAAATGTGATTGGTTAGCCACAAGAGATAATCAAAGAAAAGACAAAAAAGGTCCTACAGAAATTTGTAGTAACAATACAATTCCAAAACCTTTTATTGTGGGCAAAAACAGTCTAAGATGGCCCCTTGTATCGGCCCTTCCCACAGCAGGTGAGGGACAGACATGTCACTGCAGTGTGCAAACATTGTCTCAAGTGTAATTGCTTTATTAGTGTGTCCACACAGGGCCGGGCAGCAAGCGCCCCGCAGCGCACTGTCATTTGTCAGGAACGGTCCTCCTTCCCGCCTCACTAACCCTTCCTCACTCAAGTGTTTCCACTTCACCACAATTAAATAACACTCGCTCAGAGCCCCCTAATCCCCGGTAGGAACATCCTGCCCAACGCATTCCCATTTAATCAGCTCCCAGGAATTGAACTATGACAGCAGGGGGTTTAAGTGATCCATCAAAAATGCCTCATGTAATCGCCTCCAAATATAAGCATAATGAATGCTGGTTTTTCTCTTGTAGCTGTCTGGTGGAAATATGAAATAACTGCCCTTGTCCTCAGGCTAAATATCTATTGGAGAGGGGTGACGGATCAGGTACAAAAATATGCTGTAAAACAGAAATCCTACACAAGTGCATACCTAATATTAATATTATATATGATATATTTAATATAAAATTGAACACACACATATATATACTGTATATATATATATATATATATATATTATATGAAATGTTAGAATTTGCTAGCCAATCATGAGCTACGGAATAGAGACCTATATAATATAATATAATATAATATAATAAGATTTATGTTTTTGTGTGTGTGTGACAGAGAGAGTTTAAAAGTTAAAGAAAAAAGTTATTTTGATAGTGATGAACTTCTCTAATCTGTGGGTGGACATGTAAATACGTACAAATCACTCGCACGTAATACATTTATAATAATTACATTTAGAAAAAGTATTTCATTGTTTCTCTGCAATCTGACACTCCTCGACTGAAAAATGGATCAATCATGCTTATTAATGTTTCATTCCAAACCATAAGTCAAACACGCTTCAGTGGATCTGCCAAAGTGTAGCCCAGCTGAGAAAGAACTGATTTGTGTGACTCTTATTGAACGGGTCAGCCATATATAATTCCTCATGTGTCCCTTCCATGTGCAAACTTGACCTCAGTTGCACGATTAGTAATGCATTAAAATCTGTCCCAGTGCACACGGAAATAAGTTAAAACTTCCCAACAGGATTTAAGAAGTGCTGTATCATGATCCTGCAGAGATCTCTTCCAAGAAAATGACATGAATGTTGGAGAGGAGAAGGATGAAGGAGAGTGGGTGGAGGCGCTTGAATCTTAACCTACGTGTATCTCCCATATGAGCATCATAGCTAAGAGTGTCTGGAATACATGCACAAACCACAAACCACAGCTCCAACAGTATTTGCATATCAATTAGGTTTGATTTCAAACAATTGCCATTTCGATAGCTTTGCTGTTGTGTTACTTTGAGGAAAATGTCAGTTTTGTAATGAGCAAAAGTTTGTGAATAAAGGCCTCCTGTAGCGAATCGATGCGTATTTTTTTAAAGAAAAATATCCATATATAAAAAATGTATAAACAGTAATCTCTAGCTTCACCCCCCGGAGCCGTGTGGAACACTTTTTATTATGGATGTGATTATTGACGTTTATTTGACATCTTTTGGACTATTGAAAAATAACACCCATTCACTGCCATAATAAAGCTTGAAAGAGCCAGGACATTGTTTAATATAACTCCGATTTGATTCGTCTGAAAGAAGAAAGTCATATACACCTTGAGGCTTGAGGGTGAGTAAATTATGGGGTAATTTTCATTTTTGGGTGAACTATCCCTTTAAAATATACTTACATCTCTAACTCGCTGTTCTTACAGATTCTTGGAGATGTTGTGCTTCTATTGTTGTCAAACTCTCCATTGCTTGTAGTAGGAGTTTCTGCAGACATAGTACAGCATTATGAATAATTAGATTTATGCAAAAGAACACATTTACTATATATGTAAATACATATACACATAGTATAGTACAGTATAGTATAGTATAGTATATACGTGTACTGTTGTACTGTGTAGATATATGTGTGTGTGTGTGTGTGTGTGTGTGAGTGTATATAAGAAGCTAACTACATTAAACATTTACTAAACTAACATCTCGAAAAATCTCTTGGCTCACCTGAGTTTGCCAACTTGGTTTGCTCTGGAGATAACCTGCTAGTTGTGTCACCACTTTTAAAGCAAAAAAAAAGAATTAATAAAGCGTATAGGCCCTAATAATATGCTGTTTGTGTGTGTGCATACTTTAAAACAGCTCCTCTTAACGCCTGCCTCTCCTCTGCATTTCTGGGTTCATTTCCTGAACATGGAATCACATCCGCCTCTGTGTATCTGAGATGATTTGCTGAGGAAACATTTCTTACTATCAAAAATGCTTTCATGAAAGAACAAAAGATCAGTGCACATCCTTGCTGTGCCATAAACTGCTGACTGACAGCAAAAATAAGGATACTGTGCTTTTCCATATTCCAAATCATCACCGTCCACATCCAGATCTGCATCACTGTCCTGATGTTCTTTCAATGTGCTGCTCACCAAACCTTAAGACATTTGACATGAGGATTCATTAAATGACAAAAAAACTAAAGCCTTACAGAACAAGAGTGCCAAAGGAATGGAGAGTGTGAAATTCAAAAATAGGTTAAGATACAAATGCACCCTACTGATGAACTGCAAAGTGCTAACAAAATCAAAAGTGTTTTAAAGGACACAAGGGTCTGTATGATCTCTGAGCCCTTTGTGATCGGTTCTGCCTCTGTTTTTGACCCGTCTAAGTGCTTTTACAGTAATCTCCTTCTCATGAGGTTAACACCACTACCATTATCTCACGTGTCTGTTGTGAACTAATCACATACACACACACACACACACACACACACACACACACACACAAGCTCTGTTGCAAAACTAAGTGAGCTTGCCGTTTACATAATACATAGGCGGTCACTCAAGCTCATAAGCAACCGATTTGGGAATGCTGTGCATTGGCATTAACTCTACAAATAGACTTGCCTTTTGCATTCGATTTCAATAGATTATTACTCTATTTAGCATAATGCTAAACTTACATAAAATATATAAAATACTATTTCAGTCGTTCTACTTCAAATTTCAAATTTAATTTAATGTTTTACTTGACTTTTCTTTGTAATTACTTGTGGAATTTACAAGCAATTTCTGAGTGAAAATTGTTTTAAAGTAAATACTACACATTTGTTTCAGTGTAGCACATTTGGAGATTGGATTAAATAATCTGTTTTTAGTTGCACTGATTGTTTATAGATACATTTTAGTATTGCATTTTTTTTTCACTGAATCTGTCACTGCATAATGAGACTAAAGTTCTTCTCTGTAGACAGTTTTGTAGGTTTTGTATAGAGCAATACTCCAATGGAATTAGTGGGCTAAAGTCAGTCACACCTCTACTTTCTTCCAAATAACGCACATTTCATTCATAATATTATAAATACAGGCCTATAGTTCCTGCACATGTTTTTCTGAATTGTGTGAAATGGCTAATAAAAATAGGTAATACAAAACGATTATGTGGTCACCAAGGTGAATTGGTTTAGTCTTGACTTCTGGTCGTGAGTGACAGTGTTGGGGGGATGGAAAATCTGTTGATTGTCGAGTGCCAAATAAACACAGAGATGGACAGGAAAAGGTCAAAGCCATCAGGTGCCCAATTTAGGAAAAAAAGAAAAGAAGAAGAGGAGAAACGAGCAAAAGATAAAGGTATGCATCTATGTTCTCTCTGTATGATTATTACGGTATCCATGTCATGAATGAAGGGCTAATGTTAACTGGTGGGTATAACTTAAGTTTGTTAGCCTTTTTGCTATGATGCTTGCTATGCTTATACAACAATAATTCGGTTTTAACTCAACAAACACGAGATCTAATTTCACCATAATATTGTGCTTTGCAACAAAACTGTTACAAGTTCAGTTATTATTTATTTCCATCAGTTGGGTTAACGTTAGGCCCTGTAATTAGCCAACTGAATTTTCAAATCTGTGTAATTATAATTTAAATCGGACTACTTTTCAAATTGTATTTCATAAACCAACATCTCAGACGTTATGTCAAAACGTTATGGGGGGTTTCAAATCAAAAAATTACTTTCTGTTACAGAACAGGGCATTGATTTCATACATGTCCACTGTGGAGGACATCAGGATTTAAATCATGTTTATCAGGCATTTTGGGAGAATAATATGGAATATTTCCATATTACATCATAAATAAATATATTATAAATTATACATCAATATTCAAGCAGAGAGGAGATTTTCAAAACTAAAGTTGATCAAGTCATACCTGAGGTCAACAATGTCCCAGGAACTGCTCACTGGCCTTGCCGTCATCAGTATCAATCACTCAATAGGGGAGCAGATTTCATACGATGAAATCATTGATGATTATGCATCAAGGAAGGCCAGAAAGGTCAGGTTTTAGTTTCTGTTTTCTGTTCTTAGTGCAATAGTGTAATAATTAGATTCTCTTTAGTGTGTTTTCACATTTGTGTGAGGAAGGAGTTGTGCTATTTAGAATATTTATTCTATATTTTATTTGTATATTATTCTTAATAATTTATATTATTGCTGCTCTCTGCTCTTGTTAAATTTTTTATATATCTGATTGTATATATTTTTGGCACATTTATGTATATAGTGTATATTTATTTAAATTCTGATAACTTATACTGTCATATTTTGTGCAGAATTGTGTTCATTGTCTTTTGGCAATGGTGGAGGTGGAGATTGTGCACCTTAAAAAGTGTGTTTCCTGTTGTAATTGCAATAGTTAAATAACTGGATTATCTTAAGTGTGTTTTTCAAATGTTCTAATGAAGGATTTGTGCAATTGAGAAATATAATTTTCTCTTTCTCTTATGTTGTTATTATAAAATATAACTGTTTGTGCAGAGTTTAGTTTTTTTGGGCGCTCGAAGGGGGTCTCGCCCAGGGTGTAATTCATTGTAGAACCGCCACTGTTTGTACCTCTGAAGCCTCTGAGAACAGAAACCATCTGTATTCTTCTCTGTTCGGCCCATTCAAACTCCCTCCCGGCTGACAGCACAGAGCCATCTTCAACAACACACACTCTCTGTAGAAAACACACACATATCAGTATCTCTGGTGAAAATGTCTGCATTTGCTACCTGTCCTGAATGCCCTCTTGGCATTAGGTCACAGCTGAAAGGAACAGAAAATAAAAAGAAACATTTCACATGCAGGTTTAGAGTTTGTCTGATCCTTCTGGCCACATCTACCTGTCTTATACATCATACGACTGACTTAGCAGAACAGGACAGCTGACGCCTATCTCATGCTGCATGTCAGTACAGACATCACAAACAGTCTGTGATCTGTCAGTGAAAGCAGATCTAGAGAAAATACTGACTACAGGGGACGGAAGGTTAATTGTTTTGAATGAAACCTTTAAACATATGCACAATGAGAAATAAGCTGCATGTTCATCATACCTGGTCTTCCCCTGCTTTCCGTCTTTTAAGTTTCCCAATACGTGCTGTAAAAAAAAAAAAAATTCAGGTATAAGTTGAAATGTTTTGATGCTAATGACTCCCAAATCTGACCATACACTGCAAACTAAAATATAAAGTCCAATTTATACTATGCAAAAATGGTATTAAAAAAAAAAAATAGTAAGTGTGATATTCTAAGGACAGCATTATCTGTAAAATAATAAGTGATTTTTATACTGGCATGGCACTAAAGCCGAAATAAATTATTAAAATATTATGTGATCAACATATACTTTGTTAGTTTTTGTTTTTCTACTTGCTATTAGATTGGTCAAATTATTATTTTTATTTTTTTAAAGAAACATTTTAAATTATATATAAATATGTAAATTTTAGATTTTACAACTTTTAAATTAAATAATAAATTTGTCAATAATTAGGAAGCAGAATGAAATTATAATGTCAAAATTTAGCACACACTGCCTTTGTTTAAGAACAAAAATATATATTTTTTAACTACATTAACGTCCAGTAGATGGCAGCACTGTACTGAGGTCTGTCTCAATCTTTTGATTGACACGTAGTTTAGGAATGGATCCACCAATTTTGTTTGATTCCACCTGTAATTGTTAAAAGTTCAATATGCTCCACAAGAGACGTGCAAGCTAATGCAGCTAGATGTATATAATATGTATTTTGTGCTCACCTGATACCTGTCAGAGTGCACAGCCTCGTCAGCGGGACGTGGAGAGGAGGCAGAGGAGGAATCCTCTCTCTTTATATGCATTGAGAACAGAGACTGAGAGAGGTAAAGTGGTTATTATTGCCTGTAGACATAAATAAATTGTATATAACAAGTGTTGTGAAGTACATTGGAGAGTATGTACCTTAGGCGGACCAGCAGCGAGACACTCCTTTTGAGCGGGACCCTGACTGTAAACAGAACAGTGTTATTAACACATATTTCATCACCACAATCCCATTACCAACAAACCTCTGCCTTGTTTTAAACACAAAACTTGAACCAGAATATGCAAACATGCTTGGAAACGAGGGATCAGGTTGCATATTGTTCTCAATCTACATTTCCTTCACAGTCAAACAAAAATAATGTATAAAAAGCTCTCTCCACTCAGGTCCTGTAAAGCAGGAAGGCTCTAACACACCCTGGGGCCGAGTTCAATTTGACACAATTACTGTCCACAGCTCTGTCACTAACCAGATTATGGCTATAATTTCTTTATTGGAGAAATCCTTCATGTGTTCAGAGTGGCTAATGTGCCGCCCTGCCTCGTCTGATGCTGATAGCAAACGTTGAGGAAATGCGTTATTAGCTTGCTGTGATTTTCGCAGGGACTGCCTTGAGCTTGACTGGCTGTGAAATGTCAGGAACAATGTAACCGCTTGTAATTTGTGATGTTGCAATGATGGAGGAGACAGAGGAGAAGGGTGGAGGCATGGTGCACATGCCCGGAGGCTGTAGATAAATATGCCATCAAGACCTGGAAGCATTTAATGTGCCTTTGGAAGGGACAGGCTACAGGGAGGATGTGTCAGGGAGTTTGTGTGTGTATGTATGTTTGTGTGCGCGTGTTCAGAGTCTCAATCTGCTTTAATTCTGCCCTTCCTCCATCTCTCCTGTTCTTGTCTCCAGTTTTGATCTCTTTACTATGGGCGGTGATGCATTTTCATGAGCCTGGATGAGATTTGAGTAAGAGTGACAGAAGAGCATGCTGACTGTCAGCGGCACTTTACTGTCTACATGCTCCGGCCGACGCAAAGAGACTGAGGCAGTTAAAAAAAATCAAATCAACCCTCGACTGATGATATCAGATTAGCTGGATGGACAGAAAAACAAAAGAAGACATGAGCGAAGCAGAGGGAGGTTGATAGATATTGATTGTCGCAGTCATTATATGAATTGTATCACGTTCATTACAGAGGAACATGTCAGGTTTCCTCTGTAAAAGACTGTCATAGCAGACAGCACTGGGATACTCTATTTATTTATTTACTTAAATTTAAAATAAAACTAGTATTAATAAAATAAAAATAATAAGATAAATTATTTGCATTTATATTATGCTCCAGCATTCCCGCAACCCAGCAGTTTGAAGAAATAACGACTGGAAAGAATTATTTATAAATAAATAAAAAGTAATTGTTTGATTTTTGATTATGGCAACAAAATACACTCAAGAACCACAAAAATTGCGACACCATTTGGATAGTATATAATTTTTCTTTTAATTATTTTTTTAGATTTTTCAATTTAAATAATTAAATGTTAGATAATAATGTATTTGTGATAAAATAAAATGTATTTCTTTCTTTCTAAATGGTTTACATAAACAAAAAAACAAACAATCAAACAAATAAAGTAAAAAAAAAATGTATTCAAGAACCACAAAAAGTGGGTCGGCATTGAGATATTCTCGATTTAAGTACTTGATTCAAATAAATAATTCTTAAATAAAATTGTATTTATTATAAATAAAACAAAATGCATTCATTTCTACATGACTTGAATGAATGAATGAACGATAAATATTTATGAAAAATAAAAAAATTAAAATTAAAAGACTGCTTCAAGTGTGTGTCAAGAATGAATTGGACGATGTACCTATTGTGCAGCTGCATTAGACGCTCCATTTCATGCTCCATGTGTTCTTGCAGCTCTCCTGGCCGCAGCACAGCATGACAGATTGGACACATGGGCGTCTGAGTGTCATACAGGGCCTTCACTTTACCTGGAGAGATAGGTGACAGAGGGACACACAAAAAAGAAATGCTTTATTATTATAATCCTTCAATGAGCAATAAAGAGAATTCTTTACAATGATAAAAATCATCTAGTCCAGGCAGATGTGTCACATAAATGAAGCTCATCAACATGACAGTGGAAACATCGAGTAGTAATACCTGTCTCATAGCGAGGCCATCACAGGCTAACAAGTGGCCAGATGAAAGCAAATAGATCTGAATAAAACATGGATCTGCATGTAAACGTCACCTGGAGCCATGACCTTGAGAAATTTCTCTCTTTTAAATTTAATCTATGGTACATCTCAAATAAATTCACTGACAAGTACTAACTGCTTGCATCTCTGCCTAAAGGCAACCAACATCAGTAAACAATGAAATCCCATGGCTGAAATTGAATTTATAACCACATAACCTGCACAGATAACGTCAGCAAATAACAAGGTACTAAACCAAGTTGTGGTTAAAATCAACTGCTTAAATCAAGTAAAAAGTTCTATTAATTTGGTAATTCTGTTATTTTATGTTGCATCATAAATGCCTATAATGCTAAAGTTTTGATAAATAGTTTTTTTTTCCCCATATTGTTTGTTTTAAACTTTAATTAATTAAATTTACACTGCCATTTAAATGTTTGGGGTTGGCAAGATTTTTAATGATTTTGAAGTCTCTTATGCTTACCAAGTCTGCATTTATTTGATCAAAAATACTGTAAATAGTGTATTTTTGTACTGTTAATATTGTGAAATATAATCACAATTTAAAAAAACAACTGTAGAGGTATGCAAATACATATGTTGACAAGTAGGTAGGACAGCCTATCGTAGCCCTCGGACCAAACAATATGATTGGACGAACTTGTTATGGTCCTGTGCCTTCCACAGACAATTTAAATGCATTTAGACCACTTAACTTAGTGATTGCTATCAGGATGTAAAGAGACTTTCAACCAGCATAACAAAAAATGTTTTTGAACCAAATCGCCTACCCTGCATTTAACCCAAACTTTTGAATGATAGTGTACTTAAAATAAAAAAGAAATGTTAACATACTCCTTACAAAAAGGAAAAAAGCTATGAAAATGAACAGAAAATTACTTTGAAAGTAAAAAAAAAAATTGGAATATCACAAGAAAACAGGCAATCATCATCCTCAGATGGTCCCATAGCATTTTTCCCCAAGTTATAGGATGACTGCACATGCCAACATTTATATGACAACTTCTACCGTCATGATGGGAGATTAATTGTGAGACTGCCATGAACTGACCTTTCCAAAATGCCACATTTCATCCTGGCTTTCTGTCACATTACGACAATATGTCACAAGCCTGAAAAATACAATACTAGAGGCTTGTATTTCAGAGCCACATGCAAAGGGGTAAACAGCCATATTACCGGAGGCCAGATGAACCTGGCTCTCTCAGTAATTGATTGACATGAACTGTATTGGTTGCAAAGGCTTTTTCAAAATGTCACAATTCAGAATTCAGACAGCCAACGAGGTTTTGAGATCACATATCAGTTTCTTATGTTCAGTAATCCATAGAACATTTTAAACTAAAAACTAGAATAGAATACAGGGTATATACAGGAATCATGGAGTTAAATTTAATACCTTTTAAGACCTTTTTAAAGACTCTTTCCATACATTTTAAGACTTCATCGCCACTCCAAGTTTTAACCGGTTACATCGGCGACACTTTAACTTACATTTACTATATATTGATTGTAAGATAGCACAACTAAACAGACTTACTTTGTGATAACTCCTTATCAATACAACATAATTCAGAAGGGGGGAACAAAGCACAAGATAATTAATTGAGTGACTAACCAATGCAACCCAAGAAACAAGAATTAGACCAATAAACAAAACAACTAACAAAACTTATTAAGGAGGGGAAATAAAGCTCTCTGAGCTAACGGGGCAATGAGTTCACACAGTATATTCAAAAGATGTATTTGTCACATCAACTCTTATGTCTGCAAACCATAGCTGTTTTGTGGAGCACTTCTCATGGCAAACACCTGACTGATCAGACAGTTTACCTGTGATTACGGAGTGCTTGATTTGATGCAGACTTGACAGAGTGTCAGTACTGCCCCTGATTGTGACTGAATTATCATGGAAGGTAAAATAATGATCACAACTATTACATAATTTTAATTAAGCATCCCAAGCCCATGCCAGTAAAAAAAAAAAACTGCCCAAAGTAGCGCAATTACCATATTCCAAATATAAAAATGTCATTTCCATCCCTAAAATACATATTTTACAGTCACTGTTACGCACATTTATCATAAACACAGCTCAAATGCTTCCTACTAGTGTGGCCCAAAACATTTAGCACAGTTTTATTACAGGTAGAATGCAAAATGTTTCAGTACAAGCATTTCAGCCAAATGTAATTTATGCAATATTTCAAACCTTTAACCCACTGGGGAAAATCAACCCATGGCGACAGTTTAAAAGCAGCCCAATTTCGTGGAAAACAACAACAACAACCCTGCATCCAACACGAGCTTCAGAAGTCAGATTTGACTAATCAGGGATCAAAAGTAAGGAGAGATAACTGATAAGATGTTGGAGGATTTGCTCCTCAAAAGATCCCGAGCTCATTGACAAATATATTTTATTGTAAGATGTGCTCCCTTTACACAGTGCGATCGCGAAATCGAAAGTGAAAGTAAACTGCGACTGCGAGCGCTCATTCAAAAGGTATTTAAATACCCCACACGGCACCCTGATGCGTGAAAATTATATACAATATTAGAATGTTTGCGGGTGCGGACACAAAAATCGCGGGAGCGGATGGGAGCATGCAGTAATGGTCAGAAATTCAGCCAGAGCGGGATCAACAACCCCCGAGCTATCACACAGCAGCGAAGTCAGTCAGTGAGCACCGTAACAGATGACGTCAAATCTTGCGGGATTCCATAAATAAACCACACAGAACCCCACCATTCGGACAAATATACATAATGAAAAGATGATACATCGCGATTATGGTAAGGAGAGTTACATTTCCGACGAGTGCTTGCGGTGTTCGGCCAATCACAATGCACTGGGTCAGCTGGCCAATCAGAGCAGACTGTGCTTGTCGGAAGGAGGGACTTTGTAGAAAACAAAGCGTTTGAGAGAGGCGGGGCATAGAGGACCTACAATAATGTACAGTATTTGAAAAAGAATGTGTTTTTTGAACATTAAAGCATGTCAACATATTCTGTTACACCAAATACACAAAATAATGAACTTTAAAAAAGCATCATATGACCCCTTTAATACTTTTTAAGGGCCTTAATTTTCTCTAAATTGATTTATCAACTTTTAATACTTTTTAAGACCCCGCGGACACCCTGGAATATAATAGAATAGAATAGAATAGAATAGAATAATGTGACATTTGAAGGGAGGTCCCTTAATGGTTTCTGCCATGATTTTGCCTTTAAATAACTCCATAATGGGCGCAACATTTCAGTAATCCGAGGGCATGCGAGAGGCAGGCGATTGGCAGGGGGCTTGTTCCCTGGCAGACTTTCTGAGGAGAGTGGCAGTTATAAAACAGAATTGGGCCACTCCGCACCTGCCATGAAGCCCCGTCAAGTAGCCTGAACCCGTCTGGTTTGTGTTTAAGACATCAAATGTTTCATTTTATACAGGGGATTTCATCATTCCTTCAGTATGTTTTCTGAAGTGCAGGGAGTATGCAAGCTCCAGTGAGTGTTTTTATTGAGGAAAATAATGGGCCATTGAAAAAGGCTATTTAATGGGCAACATAATAGGCAATGTAGCAACACATCTGCTGTGGAAAGTAATTTCCTTCATTTTCAAAGGTATTTTTTTGATTCAGACCTTCTTTCATTAATCGGCTTAGAAGCAACTTAATCACTCTGGCACTGGACGAGGTACATGTGGAAAAAAGTCCAAGTTTGCTGTTATTGAGGGTAATCAATGTCTGAAATGGGAGGCAGAGTGAAAATATTACCGTGATAAATCCTAGAGCTCAGCTACAATTGCGAGAGAGAGACGTAGCACACTTGCATGTTCAATATTATAAAGCGATCTATTAGATTAAAGTGAAAATGGCTTCCATTAACATCCTTACTGTCAAGTCAATGAGCTCATTCTGATCTGTTCCCGCCTCCACATACTTTTACTGGCCAATCAGTGTCTTGTTAATGAATATTTACTGAATATTCAAATATATCAAAACCCCTTTGAAACAACTCCAGCCAAAAAAATTATGGTACACATATGTCAAAGGAAAACGTCTCGGTTACGTATGGTAACCCTCGTTCCCTGAAGGAGGGAACGGAGACGTCACGTCGTGACGACGAATTGGAATATTGCTTCGATAGACCAATCTACTTCGAGTGTAAACTAAATGAGCCAATGCACATTGGCATGCAATTATTGCATCCAGCTGCCACTGATCACAGCGTGAGTATAATAAGGCAGCAGGTGCAATGCATACCAGGTTTTCGCTGAGGAGCCGAGCCGGCGACCCGGCCACTCAGCGTTGGTACAGCAACCGTGGCGACGGGACGTGACGTCTCCGTTCCCTCCTTCAGGGAACGAGGGTTACCATACATAACCGAGACGTTCAAAGGAAAACGTCTCGGTTACGTATGGTAACCCTCGTTCCCTGAAGGAGGGAACGGAGACGTCACGTCGTGACGACGAATTGGAATATTGCTTCGATAGACCAATCTACTTCGAGTGTAAACTAAATGAGCCAATGCACATTGGCATGCAATTATTGCATCCAGCTGCCACTGATCACAGCGTGAGTATAATAAGGCAGCAGGTGCAATGCATACCAGGTTTTCGCTGAGGAGCCGAGCCGGCGACCCGGCCACTCAGCGTTGGTACAGCAACCGTGGCGACGGGACGTGACGTCTCCGTTCCCTCCTTCAGGGAACGAGGGTTACCATACATAACCGAGACGTTCCCTTTCACTCGGTCACTACGAGTCACGTCGTGA